TTACACATCCATGCCTTTGCTCACTTTGCTGACTTTGTCTGGAAAGCTCTTCTATCCAACTCCACCCTCTCCCTACAGGAACATCTCTCCATTCAGCCTTTCAAGAATCAGCTCACGCACAGCTCTTCTTTGAAAATATTCCTCTATCAAGACAACTGTTCTTGTTTGTTGAGATATTAAATTGACCACTGACTCTTCTGTGTTCCCACCAGAGTCTGTGCATCATTCTATAATAACTGTTCTAAAAATGTTTTACACTTAGATCAAGGTTTATCAAAGTCAGCACTACTGACATTTTAGACTGGATAAATTCTTTGCTGTAGGAGATATATATATATATATATATATATATATTTTTTTTTTTTTCGCTATGCGGGCCTCCCACTGTTGTGGCCTCTCCCGTTGTGGAGCACAGGCTCCGGACGCACAGGCTCAGCGGCCATGGCTCATGGGCCCAGCCGCTCCACGGCACGTGGGATCTTCCCGGACCGGGGCACGAACCTGTGTCCCCTGCATCAGCAGGTGGACTCTCAACCACTGCGCCACCAGGGAAGCCCTGCTGTAGGATATTTTAACAGCATTGTAAGATGTTTAATACCATCCTTGGCTTCTACCCACTATGTGCCAGAAGAACTCCGCCTCAAGTCATGACCACTTCCTATCTCCAGATACTGCCAAATGTCTCCTGTAGTCAAAACCACCCCAGTTGACTAAGATGTGCATCTTTGTTCTCCCCTAATAACCTGTAAGTTTCATGAAAGCAAGAATGTTATTTTCACCTTTGTATTTTGGACTTAGCATAGTGCCAGGTCCACTGTAGATTCTCAAGATATGTCTGTTAAAGGAATGATTATCTTGTTACAAAAGGGATACTAACACACTATCAAAATGTAGAAGATCAAGCATATCGACATCTATCCTAATCATGATAATGCTTTGTTTTTTTTTAAGGATTACATCACTATTGAAATTAGAATTTTCAATATCATCAAAACATCACTTAAAATCCTCAAATCCATCCACCCATCACTAGAAATCATTTGTATTGATTTTTATGTGGTTTTAATACAAACAAAAATGAGATTTGGGGTCTAGAACTTGACTTGAAATTATACCTAGGTATATAAAACTCTCGGAGTAAAAATTGCTTGCATATAGTTGGTTAAATGATTCTGTTTTTTAAAAAATGCTCAGCTAGTATTTTTATGTTCTCTGAATAGCTTTAATTAATTACTTCACTTTTTAAAAAACGTTCAGGGAGTATTTTTATGCCCTGTAAATAATATTTTCAATTTTAAAAATTTTTACAAACTAAATCCCATCAAAGTTAAAAATAGTCCCTTCCTAAGTCTACTTTCACTCCAGTAACATTGATGGAACACATTTCTATGATAGAATTAATAAACCAAGAAATTTTAGAGGCCAGAAATACATTACTTTAATTTTAAATACTTATTCTAAAGAAGTTCCTAAATAGAATTGCTGTGCCAGAATTCAAATATGTGAGCCCAAATATGCATAATACACAAATACACATAAGTTTTTCAAATGTATATATTCTATGGATAATGATTTAAAATCTCTAAAAGATTATTTTAAAAGCTATCAATTATTTTAACATCTTATATCCAAATTATTATTAATTACATTTAAAATAGAAAGAAAAGTTAGCCATGAATTCTTTCCAATTCCATAATATATCTTATCTAGAGATAAATTATTTAATTTGAAAGTACAATTCATGTAATGTACAAAAGATTTTCATTAATGATGGTGTGTTCAGAAAGAGACAGTGTGGTTATATGAACTCTGGCTATTTATCAGATAAGCATATTTGAGCAAATATTGTATTTTAAATTCTAACAATTTGACAATAAGTGGTCTTCATTCTTATTTTCTTATTTTTCTTATTTTCTCTAATGATGTAATTTCATACATCATATATGTATATATAGTCATTTCATATTAAATGACTATAATGTTATTGAAAGTTTAAAGTCAACCTTATTTTATAGAGAATCTTAACTTTGTAAATAAAGCCACTGACGTTTTCATTTGGTCTCAGTTCCTTTTAACCAAACTAAAAATATCTTGTGTATTCAGCATCTGAATTTTTCACGCTCACAGCAACAGAAATAATAAAACGTCATATTAATCTATCTTTAACGTCATTGTTCTTGAGGCTTAGCAACTGCTTTTTTTCTTCTTCTTCAGTTTGGCTCTCTATATTCTAAATGATTTTTGGTCACTTTAAAAAAATCCGTAAATATCCAAGTATATAATTCTGGTTTTTATATTTTTTGAGATACTAGTACATATAACCCACTGCGAGTTCTAGAAAACTAATACTTTAAACCAGGGCTCAGTAAACTATGGTCTACAGGCTGAATTCTACCTATCACCTATTTTTGTATGGATCATGAGCAAAAGCAGTTTTCACATTTTTTTAATGGTTGCAAAAAGTCAAAAGAAGAATAACATTTCATGAAAAGCCAAAATTATATAAAATTCAAAAATTCCAGTGTCAGGAATTCCCTGGTGGTCCAGTGGTTAGGACTCTGTGCTTCCACTGCAGGGGGTACAGGTTCAATCCCTGGTCAGGGAACTAAGATCTTGCAAGCCACTGTGAGGCGTGGCCAAAGAAAACCAAAACCAAAACCAAAACCAAAAACCAAAAAAATAAACCAAAAAAATTCCAGTGTCTACAAATGAAATGCTATTGAAACATAGCCACACTCACTTGTGCACGTATTTTTCTAAGGTCACTTTTGAGCTACAATGGCAAATAGGAGTAGTCATTACAGAGACCCAAAAAAACTGAAATATTTACTATCTGCCCTTTATAGAGAACTTTGCAGACCCTGCTTTAAACAATTAGTATATGACTATCACACACACACACACACACACACACACACACACACACATACATGTAAATCTGGTGAATAGGACACAGTCCATTTCTGAGGGGATTTCTTTCAGCCAATATCATTTTCTCAATAATATATTTTTCTATAAACCTTGGTAAAGGCCATTGGTTATTAGCAATAAAATACTTACTATGATACTCTTAAAATATTTGGAAAAGTACTATTGAACTAGTTGAATTGATCATTTACTTTTTTGAGGTGTTCCTTTCTTCACCTCACCATTGAAGTCTTGAGAGTTTGGAATTCCTATAATTCCCCAGTTGAAATCAAATTAGACATCTAATAACAATCATCAATGACTCTGAATCTGTAAAACTCAGCCTAATGTCTACTTTATCATATCTTAGTAAAGCTGTTATGCCTGGCTCCTAGCTATACCATTTTGTAATGAAGACAAAACATAGCAAACCAGATCAAGTTTAATTTATAGTCTTAACCCAGTTTACATTCCATCTTAAATACAGGAAAAAAAAAAAAAGCCCACGAATTTGGTAAATGAACCAAAAAATTGAATTCCTTGCAAGCAAACATTGCTAATAGGTGTTAAAATGATACAAAAGATTATCATTCTCTACTAGTGAACTTAATACTATTCAAGCTTTTGAAAAAGCTACAAAAACGTGAATTGTCAGTAATTCTGTTTGATGCCTTAACTAAATAGATAATATTCTGAGCATCTGCTCATGGTTCAAAAGTTACCATTAAAATAAGATTTCCTAGCAGAAAAATTCAACTTTTTATTGCCTCTGCACATTACTATAGGCCTTCTTTTAAAGGGGGGAAAAAAGCTTTAAAAGTCTTGAAAGGAATGTAGATTTAATATTTTGCATGATTTCGATAGTATATTATGTGACTATTAATAACAATAACTATATTTTATTTTGAGGATATTTCTGAAAATCTCTAAAATGAATGGACATAGAGCATATTTCTAGGTTTTTATATTTTGCTAAGCATTATAACAATCAGCGAAGAAAAATCAAAATTCATTTAGGGACATTTAAAAATAAGTAGGAGCAATGGTTCAAATAGTAGTTCTAATATGTGCTTCAGAAGAAAGCTAGTAACTGAAAAATAAAATAATAAAGAGATATTTTCTATTATGTATTAAAAGAAATATTAGTTTTTTAACTGAATTCAACGGCTTTGTTGTTACTACCAAATTTATTTAAACTGACAGTTTAGAATTGTTTTTCTTTGGCCCCTTAAACAAATTGTAAGAAGCCAATTTAGAGCAGCAAAATAAATAATGTCACACTCCTGAGAACCAAAAAGATTATTATCTCCAACACATGAACCTAAGAAGTGAGGTCTTTTTCTTAACACCACAAACAACTGGTTTTACCAAAGGCAATCTTGGAAAGAAGGAGCCTTAGAGATCACCCAAGAAATGGAAATCACAACGTTTCCTCTAAGTCATGGATGACTTCTCCCAAGTTGTGTGAGATTCCATGTCAATTCAAACAATACTAGGCTCATCATTAAAATAATTTTCATTTAAAAGAAAAATAGATCATAATTATCTTCAATTATCATATAATCTCTGTAATTAGAGATGATGCCATATTCAGCCAGCTTTTCTGGTATGGTAGAACCCTGATAAGAAATCTCAAATATAAATGCCTGTTTGCTTCCATTAATGGAATATTTGTGGGCTGAAGCTGACTGGTGACAGACCGTGGATGGGACTGGAGTCTGGAATACAATGGTGTGGCAGACCTGTACAACATTTGACCTCAAGCTCTATGCTTAGAATTGAAGAAACTGCCCAAAGAGTCAGTTCTTTCTCCAAATCTAATCAAAATATTTCAGACGGGACTACAATTCACAAAATAAAATTTTGTTTCCACCTTTCTGTTTCCAAATATGGGAAGATGTTTTTCACTTTCTTTTGCTACATTTAATTGCCAGCCCAACCGTTACCCATCACTGGAACCGTACCACCAGAAAAGTTTTACTGGAGGCTGCCTTATGTCGCAAACACGTTATTAAATTAAAATGAATTTTCCATGCTTACTAAAAAGTGAGCATTTGTAGTCACATTAGGTGGCTTCAGTGCTGGGCACTTACCCAAGTCCCTGGTTCTGTGGAGTCAGCTGTCCTCCATGTGCCCGGCTCTGCCGCATGTGACTGAATGTTGGCCTTACCACACTTTTTCAGAAAAGATTTGATCCTTCAAATGGGAGGTGAGTTGCTCATTATGAGAAGTCTAAAAAAAAAAAAGCTGGATTTTAGACAAGCAAATGCTTCCACAGGTCCCAGAAGTTTTTGCAAGATTAATCATCACCAACATGAAACTTGAGCTCATCTTTTATAGGCTTTTGTTTCCTTCCAACTACATCTCTTTCAATTTTCATTTCATTCCCTTACTCTTTTTTTTTTTTCCTACCTGCTTTTGATCTTCTATTTTACACTGTACAGAAGTCTTGAGTGGTATGTGTGAAGCGAGCCATCGTCAGCCTGCTGGTCTAGAAAAAAATCATAAAGTAAGAAACAAGGCCTGAGATTGGATTGGGAATTAATCTGCATGGTTATCAATGTCCTGTTGTGCTTCATGAAAGATGCCTGGTCTTTTCAATACTACATTTCATGTAGCGATGAAAATGGGATATGGAATATCATCGTGAAAACTAGTTTGATTGGGATAATAATGACTAAGAAGCCATCAATGCGAAAAACCTAACAGGACCCAATTGTGAAGAATGAGCTAGACACTGAACCTGCTTCACAATCTCTGCTTTTGTTTAGAGACTTCCACCAGGCTTTGGAGCCTTGGAATGGGTTTGGATGTCATCTAAGCATTCCACCCCAAAAGCTATTATCATTTCTCATTGAGAAGAAAAGTGGGAAGCTGGGATTTGGGTGCCACAGGGAAAGGTTTTTGAGATACTCTGACCACAGTAAAGCTTTGCTTCATGCACTTCATGCACTACTGTGCTTAGGGATGGCTGTGGGGAAGCTTGGAGCCCATTGTATAGATTTATGTTACTCCATCAGCTGTTTAATAATAATTGCTATCCTGAAAAAGGACAGTATTTTATCAGTAATACCACTAGCTGATACCTTTATAAAATTTCATTTTATTCAATTGGCTTAGGGTACTTTAACAACATTTAAGTTCTCAATTGCTTCTGTGATAGAGGCAAGTTGCCTATGGCTACTGTGAACTGAGATTAAAATCCAAGAGTTCAGCCTTTTAAGATTTCTAGTAAATCCCCTGAACCAAACTCTTTCCCTAAATGGTAAGTGAATTTAAAGCTAATATAACTACTAAAAAATAATAGACAGAGGCTATTCACATTGCCTTCTATCTCCTGTTTAGTATTGAAAGGGAGTTTGGTGCTTTCTACACCAGACAAATTCAGGTTCATGTTTTTCAGGGAAGTGTCAATTCCACAAACAAGCATAGTTATAATACCATTCTCCTCCTGAGTAAATATGAGATACATGAACCTACCAACTTTTTGAATACCATCAATATAAAACTCTTTGTATTTTCTTGATTAAAAACATAAAAACAATTCTAGGAAACCTCTTTTTAGGCCTTCCTAATTATGCTGACAGAACTGCAGCATCATTCTCCAGAGGCTGTTTTACTCCATAATGAAGCTTTTGAGTGAGATGTTTTCAAGCGATGTTTCAGGTTTTACTTTGAACACATCTCTGCCATGTTCTCCACCATTTTAAAAGTTAAATAAAAATGCAACAGCTTCAAGTAGCAATTAATAAATTCTGTCATTTACATAAAAAAATCAGCAGTTTCTATCCTATGAGAAAATGAACATTTCATAAATATTGAATACCATTACACACATACCCTACAAGTTGGTTAGCTAAAAAGAGAGAAATTCCATTAGAGGCTTTCGCAAGGAAAATATAAAATAGTTGAGATAAAGCAGCTGACAGTATTAGTTACTACTTTGCTTTAAAAATGTAGTGAACAGCAATTCCACAAACTTCCAAGGGAAAATTGTATCAGCTATTTGAAAACTCTGAGCCCCTTTATTAAGAGGATTTCTTGTCTTATAGGCTGTGTGACTTGGTTGAATAGTGATTAGTTGTATATGCAACATATGCTTGTATCAGAGAATAATTTAGCCCCATAAAATATTCATCAGTATCTGATAGCATCAGAAGTGGAAATCTGACAGTCATCCTGTCCAGAAAAGGATGTTTCATAATCAGAAGAAGTGACCAGTGCCCTTTAGTACCTAAAAAAGACTGAATTTAGACTAGGAAGGCACCCTGACTTCTGTTTTCTCAAACTAGATGGCTCACTCCCAACTTCCTTTAAAAATCATATAACTAAAACCTCAATGACTGAATTCCTCCAGCTAGAAAATGAAAGTAAAAAGCCCTCCTTGTCACATGCAGCAATAATAGAGCATAGTTAATAAGTCGGTATTTTAGGACCTTGCTTACAGGAGACTTATGTTCTTTCTGTCATTTAATAAAAGTATCTTTCTGGTGTGGGACATGAAGGTGAGATTTTTCACTTTTTATTATTAGAGTCAAACCTAGAATGATGAAGTTGACATTCGCCAGCAATCTGTGTATTGGGGAAGGGATAAAGGTTGATTTCCACTGTAGTCTCACAGTTATCTCTCAGTGATGGAACTGCTTCCAGGGTTCAGTCTTTGCCCTGTTCACTTCACTATGTACAACTGCGTCCTGAATGATTCCATCTTATCCAGTTTTATAGCACTTATTTTCTAACATACTACATAACTTAACTTATTTATGTCTTCTCCCTCCAGACACATACCTGAATGTAATCCCCACTGTAGGTTCTTCTTGTTCCCTAATGCTTCCCTAGTACTCAGGAGAAAGCCTGGCCCATAAGAGGCACTCGATAATATATTTTGAATAAATGAATGAATGAAGAAAAACAGTGACAAATTACAGAAAATGTATTTGAAAGTGGGGATATAAATATGTTTTTTTCAAAGTTAAAGGAAAAGGCAAATAAGACTAGTTTTAGCATAATTTTCTATTAAAGCAAAGTTTTAGCTTCACAATAAAGAATGGTATTATAAAATAAATATAAGAATTCTGTAGCTCTAAACCTCTGTGCTTGATAAAGTTTGTATCACCCAAATGTTTAGTCTCATTTTCAGAGTTCTTTTTAAGATGGACCTGAGCTCAATATATAAAGGATCTCATAAATATATATATATATGTGTTGATTTTTAAACTTTGATATAATCAGTTAATCCAGCAGCCAGAAACTATCTTTTTTTTAAGGTTTATTTATTATTTATTTTATTTATTTATTTATTTATGGCTTCATTGGGTCTTAGTTGCAGCATTCAGGATCTTTGTTGAGGCATGTGGGCTCCTCATTGCAGTGCGTGGGCTTCTCTCTAGCTGTGGCACGTGGGCTCCAGAGCGTGTAGGCTCTGTAGTTTGCAGCACAGGGTCTCTCTAGTTGAGGTGCATGAGCTCAGCAGTTGTGGCGCGTGGGCTTAGTTGTCCCATGGCATGTGGGATTTTAGCTCCCTGACCAGGGATCAAAGCTGCTTCCCCTGCATTGTAAGGAGGATTCTTTATCACTGGCCCACCAGGAAAGTCCCCAGAAAATAGTTTTTGACATCAGAGATTCTCCCCAACAAATTTACTTTACTTTTCATTTTCAGTTGGCATGTAGGCATCTCATAGATGCACCCTAACAGGTTTCCTACTGCAGACCTACATTGTAGAAGTATTATAGTTTTTTCAGGCACTAACAAAACAAGTTGTAGCCCATGTATTCTTTTTTTTTTTTTTTGCGGTACGCGGGCCTCTCACTGCTGTGGCCTCTCCCGTTGCGGAGCACAGGCTCCAGACGCGCAGGCTCAGCGGCCATGGCTCACGGGCCCAGCCGCTCCGCGGCATGTGGGATCTTCCCGGACAGGGGCACGAACCCGTGTCCCCTGCATCGGCAGGCGGACTCTCAACCACTGTGCCACCAGGGAAGTCCCCCCATGTATTCTTATACACAAAGAAATTGGCTCTATGTCCTAATGGGATTTCAGGCCATGCAGCATTGTAGACAAATTATACATACAGATTCAGCCATACTTGAAAGAGGACCCAAACAAGCTTTACGCATAAGTGCAATCGATTTCCCAACTCAACAAGTAATTTAACCAAATATTTCTAATCTCAAGAGTCTAAAAGCCAAATAAAGTAGCCTTGCTTCTTGATCAGCATAAATTGTTGGTTGATAAGTTAGCAAGCAGCTACAGGCTACACTAAAATTTATTGTATTGAATGTATTATTGTACCACAAAAGGGGAAAATGTTATTAGAGGAATGCTGAATTTATTACTTTAAGACCATCAGTGGAAATACTGGTATATTGTTGCTCATATGTCTCAGGATACTTAAACCTCTGTTTGTTTTTTCAGGTATTTTTAGAGATTCTCCTTATATACAATGTACTAACATACTCTAGATGCTTTCAATGAAGAATTCATGGTTATTACAGTATTTATAGTACTACAGTTTCTTGGTAGTTATTTATTTATAGATGATCAATTCCAGGAACTAGCTTTATTAGGTATCTGGTATTGAATAACTTTAAGAAAGCTTTTAAATCATCCTAGATTTATAAGGCATTTCCTTGTTTCTTAGATTACTTAGGCACACTCATTTCTGGAAATGCCTAATCAAAAGCATTAAATTTAAAATAATTGTAAATTGGAGTGCTGGTGGCTATACAACTGCAATTACTGTATCAGTTCACCAATACACCCCAATTTGCCAATAAAAGCACTGAAACTGTGGTTTGTATTTCCAGCAAATCTATGTTGAAAGCCACAAACTAGATAATGGTAGGAATAATTGTTCTAATTATATCACTACTGTCATAATAAAATGGGCCCATTCTTTTTAAAACCAAGGATTCTAAGAAATTTCTAAGCTAGAAACGTAGGCTACTGCAATCGTTTCAACACACATTCGAGGATGGTGGGAGTTTGTTCTGAACTCTTTAGTTAACTTGAGCATCACCTCTTTTCTAAGACAGTAAACAAACTTCAAGGACTACAAGGGCTGGAAGATAATGTAAATGAGTGATGCAAACTACCTGGTGAAGGGGCACATGGGCACATTGGGTGAGAAGCTGAAACTGTATCCAATTCCAGGACACGAAGCAATGGCTACACTCTTTCAGGAGACTTTTGCCATGCAGGAATACATTACTCAACATTGCCAGACATTCCAATTTTTCAAGGAAAGAGTAGATCATTTGAAACTACCCACATTTTATGTGCTGTCTCATGTTTTAAAATCATTTGCACAGGGCTTCCCTGGTGGCGCAGTGGTTGAGAGTCCGCCTGCCGATGCAGGGGACACGGGTTCGTGCCCCGGTCCGGGAGGATCCCACATGCCGCGGAGCGGCTGGGCCCGTGAGCCATGGCCGCTGAGCCAGCGCGTCCGAAGGCCTGTGCTCCGCAGCGGGAGAGGCCACAACAGTGAGAGGCCCGCGTACCGGAAAAAAAAAAAAAAAAAAATCATTTGCACATATTTGGACTGGATTAAATCTTTGAGCTACTAGTTTGCCACATTGTCTAGAAGTCGTAATAGTCAATGGTATTTTCTTACTAGAAAAAAATGAGACAGTTTCCTGTTAAAATCTTGTTCTTTTAGACAGTACTGCTCAATTAGCCAGTAGTGGCATTTTCCTGAGTCACAGAGTGAATTTCCTATGTCCATTTATACATAATACTGAATGTCCATGAGGCCCAACATCACAGTTTCACGTATATATTTTTATCATATAAAAAGTACCACATCGTGAAGGGGAAAAATGGTACGTCCAAAGGTACCGTCTTGATGTTAGTTTTATTATAATCATTTCAAAGTCATAACATCATAGTTACTTTTTTGACACATTCAGGAAGGTATTTTGTGGCTTTATCCTAACAAAACAGAGGATAAGAAATAAAGAACAAAATTAACATTTTCTAATCTATGGTTTTGACCTACAGAAACATAACAATTATGGATGAAATTACAATGTATATGGGAAAGTATTCACTCCCTGAGCTTCATAAATGGAAAAATATTAATCAATTTTTCTCCATCATCATTTTAAAGAAACCTTTTAAATGTTTTACCTTCTAAGCCCTCTCCATACAGCCAACAGTAAATATATATGTAAAATATATATATATTTAGAGAGAGAGGGAGAGAGAAAGAATATATTATACCGTTGGGTCTTTTCTTTGGAGAGCCCTAATACAGTAGGCTAATTTTATACATGTTGCTGCTAAATTCCATCTCCCCTATCTTATATATTTACAGATTCTTTCTCAAAAGTTTTTATTTGTCTGCACTCGAAATGAAGGAATTTATATTTATTCACAATAAACTTTATCTTATTATAGTCAACTCATTATTCTTGGCTGAATGATTCTTTTGGAGGTTTGCCTCTGGGCTCCCATGTATTCACTGTCTGCTCAGATTTATCTCAAATACAGAGGATAGAATCATGCGATAGAATCATGCTTGCTTCATCAAGGCTAGTTTTTGAAGTCAGATGAATCTAAGATCTGACTTTCTAAGGAAGTGGTCTACACCAGCCATAGCTAATGTGACTGCTGGACACCGTGTTGCTATTGTTTTTCCCAAGCATAAAAAGCTACCTTAATAACTCTTTTGAATCATACTAGACAAATTATAATGCTCAAATTGAATGACACAGTTTATTCTTACCTAGCTTATTAAATTCTCAGGAGAGGCTAAACCCTTTGAATGAGAAATCTTAAATCAATATTAAATTGAGCCCATGTACCCCAAGGAGATTTAGACCATCTGCTAATTCTGCTGGGCAAAGGCTTTCTTTTCTATTCTCTCAGCTTTGGAGAAGTAGAATCCAATTTGCCTCCAGCTCCCATTTTTTCATCCTATAGTTAAATAGTCTATGTAAAACAAACTTTTGCAACCACCTTGTGTTATCTGAACCCAGTGTGTTCCTTTCTCACAAGAAAATAGATGGGTGTATTAAGGACACTGAAAGAGTGTTCGCAAACACAGTTCTTTCTTAGGATCTGGTGTCCTTTAAAAATTATTTCCTAAAACATGTGTTAACCTTTATATAAACAATGATTAGGTCAAATAATTTTCTTTTTGCCAAATAAATATTTTGGAAGGTGAACGTTATTACGTTTTGAAATGTCACAGAAATCTATTGGTATTCCCATCTGACCACTCTTCCCACACCCCCCCACGCTCTTTCAGAACATAAGCATGTGTAGCAAGCCTTTCATGAACAAGGAATCCATTCAGGACTTAGGTACCTGGGCCAGTTTCCACTCAACAGGTTTCCTATGCACTTGTAGGTGCCAAACCACGACTCTTATGTTTCTCCAAAAGAATTCTTAATAGACAGGAGATTAAACTCTAAGTGGCTTCCTGATTTCACCATTTCTGAAGCCCAGTGTGAGGTTGCTGAAAGTTCACTCCATTTGTACCATCAGGAGCCTAACAGGCTTTAGAAACTGAGTGAGTGAGGTAATATTTTGTGAGTGTGCAGATGAAATATTGGAGTACTTAGCAATCTATTGCATTAAAGGCACATATACATTTTTGATCACCTCTTTATTTTTTGAAAAGAATTCTTCTGTAATATTCTGAGTTTCAGGTTTAACTGAAGAATGTGAGATGAAAATGACTGTAATTTTAATAATAATCTGTATGGTAACATAAAGACAAAGTAAAGAAATGCCTGTATTTGCCCAATACTGATTCTCAACTCCTCTCTGAGCAAATATCTATTCATTATCTGAATATAACAATTAAAATGTCTTCACAGTGGTAAGGCAATGATAAATGTCCAGTCTATAAATGCCAAAAGCCAGATTGCAGGAATGGTTCCACATACTAATGTTCAATCAAATCCATGTACAATCAAGATGAAAAAGGAAACAAAATGCACAGTAAATGGGGAACTCTCCGAATTATCAAACATGAAATTAAACACTAAAATGATTGCCTTTAAGAATATAATCAGTAATCTGGAAAATGAGTTTTATACAGATGTAATGAGTTCCCAAGAATAATTTGTACAATGTCCGATCAATGGTGTTAGGCTTGTATAAACCTTGCCTAGTGCCATCTTGGTAGTGATTTTTGTCCTAAGCATTGTCCAACATCTCCTGTGTTCTCTGAGGCATGAGACCACCAAATATCCACATTTGAATCACATGATCATGGAAGGTTATTTGTGAAAATTAATTTTGTTTGTCTATCTGGACCCACAGTTGAGCTCTCACCTTGAAATCAAGAAGTGGCATTGCTGGAATAAACAACTTTGGTAGAGTCAGTTTATAATCACTACTTCAGCAATACATGGAAATCCCATGGGCAAGAGTTATTTACTGATATTCATCCTAAGTAATTTTCCTGTTTGTCAAGGAGGTATGCCTTCCTTCAGTTTTAAGAAATGCAAGCTATAAAGATTCAGAAGGGTCAGGAAACAAATACTCCATATAGTCTGAAATTAAGGGATCAAATTAATACCTTTGATAATTTACAATGTTTTTAAATTAATTTTATTTTGTATAATTTCTATATTACAAGGGTAATATTCTGGCCAGTGATATACGTGGGTCTGTTTTTGTTAAAAGCCATGTATTCTGTTTACTGGAGACTAACTCCAAAGTCCATTGTACTAGATATTTAGTTAAGAAAATCTCTTAAGGATCAAATGCATTTTTCCCAAGCTCACTATATTATTACATTTGTTTATTTTTTTCTTCAGTCATGGCTGAAGTAAGTGGTTTCTACCTATTTCTAAATTGATTTAAGGGATATTATAAGTAAGAGATGTGGATATAAATAATATCTGCTTTATAATCATGCTATTATAAAAAACGGTAAAGGACAAGAGTCAAACAGCGAAAGAGGGATTTAGTTCAAGAGTCTATAAAGGAGCATTAACTAAAATATGAATACTATCTTCAATAGCAACTTCACAGAAAATGAATAACACAGACATTCTTTTTTATACTGCTTCTTATCATGGCTCTTTTAAAAAATTAGCATTGAAAAGAAAAGGTTAAATGACAGGAATTTTTTCTTTTCTGTAAGTGTCTCAATGGTCTTCTTAGAATTTTTCTTTCTTTCAAGTCATAGAAATCATCCCTGTGCCTGACATTTTTAATTGCCCTCAAATATCAATTCATTACACCTTCCTTTCTAAATGAATACAAATTAATTTAGTGGGTAATGTTTCTATTTAAAAATACTTAGCTTTCCACGCTCCCGTGAATCTGCAGATGGGCATGTGACTACTTCTGGACAAAGAGGTATACGTGACAGTTGAGGGTTGGGCTTTTCAGAGCGTTGTCTTCCTAACAGACTGAGCAAACCTAGTCAATATATCTTTTGCCCTTTATCTTTTCCCTGTCTCTCTTCCTAGATTGAAAAGTGATATCTAGAAGGGCCATAGCATTTTTTGTAAATATGAGGAGAACGGCCTTGCACTAAGGGTGACAGCATAACAACAACACTAAGGTTGTTGTTATGCTGTCATGTCACCATAACAACAACCCTGGATTACTGTCCGCCTCCAGACTCAATGTTACATGAAAAATAAAGCAAAATAAAAGAATAAAATAAGCACATCAACTGACTTTCTGTGACACAGCTGAACACAACCTTAACACTCAGACTTCCTTTATGTGTCCTTGCCCCACTCTGGTTTAGATGCTCCTCCTTGTTTCCATGTCATCTCCTACAATCCCAAACACAGTATTTTCTGCCTCTCTCTGCATCACAAATTTCAGGAAGACAGAAATCATGTCAATCTTTCAATCAATGATGTTCCTGGAACTTTGCACATGTCTACATAGCACATAGTAGGCACCCAATACATTTGATAAATGGGGAAGTAATAAAGAAATGACTGAATAAGTACAATTCCCACCTCTCTATATCTACTACTAACAAATAATCCAAAACTCTTCTTGTTTTCCCTTAGACTATTGTAGTATCTTCCTCATGGTTTTCCCTGCATCCCCCTTGCTCAAAAACGCTCCCATAGCTTCCTATTATATTTATAATTAAATCCAAATCCTTTACACATTCTATGAAGCCTAGTATGATCTGGCTACTCTCTACTGCTCTGAATATACATCTGTTCATTCTCTTCATTATATTCCAACCACAGTGGCTTTCTTTTGGTTACTGAAACATTCCAAGCTCATTCTCACCTTAAGATCTTTATGCCAGATGTTTCATTTCCACAGATGTTCACACAGCCGACTCCTTCTTGCCTTTTAGATCTCAGCTCAGATCACTTCCTCAGAGAGGTCACAGCTGACAACTCAATCTAAAGGAACTCATCAAACGCTCTATCCCATAGCCTTCTTGTGGGGCTGTTGAGAAAATATTTTTGTTTCTGCACAGTAGGGCTTTCTGAGAAAATTTTACTGAAACTTCGAACCTGAGCTAAAATGCAACCCTTAGAAGGTAATTTATGATGGAATAAATAATAAGAACTCCAGAGAGATTTACTTCCCAGAGGTATGTGTTTACATTTCAAGGGGAGTTGACACCCAGGACCATGGAGACATTTCAAAAAGTGAGGACTCAGTATTCTCTCCATTACTTTTCCGAGGAAGCTCTCTCAAAAGAGGAAGGAAAACAGCTGCCCCTCTCTCCTGTATCAATGTGCAGATTCATTTTCTTTTGGGGGAAGAGGAGGGCTTACTCACCTACAATTCAGACCCAGTATGTGTAGAGTAACATCTGGCTCTTACTGCTCTGCCCTGGAGGGAGGACGTTGTAGCACAAGGGAAACAACACATTATTATTTACTATAAATAAGTAGTGATAAATCTTCTCTGCTCCAGAAACCTCATGTTGGCATTCAGGGTAATATTAATAAATATAGTACAAAAAACCTAATCTCTCCTTTATTCTTTTATAGTTCCTGTCATCCAGTACTGGGTATCCACATCACTCAAGATGGTGCACAAGTTCAGAGTCTTTGTTAGGTTTACAACTCATGCCTGAAAGAGCTCCTAGTAGGAGATCAATAAGTGTTAATGGAATGAATAAATGAATCAGTCAATGAAATGAAAAAAATATCATTGAAATGACAACCTTTTGGAGTACTGGATTGTGTAGCTTTCTACTGATTTGGGTTACAGCAGAGGGGAGATTAAAAATTTTAGAAAAATAATTGTTTATCTCGGATGACCTGCTAAAGCATAGTATATGTAACATCTTTTGAAAACTGAGGTTTTTATAGATGTCTGAAGTGAAGACATTTTGGGTTTTTTTTTTTTAACGAACTGATTTCCTTACGACTTAACTACTGGCTGTGTAGTTAATGAGATTTATGTTTATATAAATATTGAATAATTTATATTTTATATAAATATTGAATAAGTTATCTGTATTCTTGCCCAGCTGCACAGCAGTTGAGATGAAAACCCAGCCTTTTCTCAAAAAGCAGCTTTAGCCCTTCCCAAGGCTCTGAACTAAAACAGAATTAATTCCTCAGAGTTCTGCATCATAAGTTAACTGGAAAATTTAAAAGAGTGTACTTTAGTAACTCTCAATCTCTATCACACGAGTGCTGACAACAATTTAAATTTGAGGAGGACTCCACCTTAATGGCATTTCCAGATGAGTTACTCCCAAAATACATTTGGCAGAACCTGCAGGGTAGACTTACTAAGCATTATCCACTTGAATATTGAAAGAGATCTTCAGAAAACAATTATTTTCATTTTGATGGAACTGATACTGAGCTCTTACTTCTGATAACACTTGTACAATTTCTTCAAGCTGATCATCTCATTGCAGAAACAAAACAAACATATTGACAGCATAAATATTTGACAAATGTAATTCTTGAAGATTTCACTCAAAGAAAAATATGGGCTCTGAATTATAGTGGTGGATTCAAGAATGGCTAGAATTAATTAGGTATTCTCTTAACATTTTAAACTATGGGTTATAGTAAAAATAATTTCTTCTTTAAGAACTGCTGAATGTAGTAGGTATTTTTAAAATTTTACCATAACAAGTCAGTTGAAGTTACCTAGAATTTGAGGAGAAAGTAAGTATAACGTAAACTTCTGAAATCTAAGCTTACCATAAACACCACATTTGATCAACTCTTTAGAGAGGTAGCCAATCTAAATAATTATATACAAATGTGTTGCTACTGTGAATAAGGGTGTACAGACTCAAATCCTATTGGGAGGATAAATTAATAGAAGATAAACTGTAATGATAAACTGATAGAAGATAAACTGTAAGTTTGCAACACCCAATGCTTTGAGAAGGGTAAAATCTGGGTAAACAAGAGTTAAAAATTAAATACTGTGTAGTTGTGTCTCTAGCATATTCCATAGAACAGGGCATTCTGATTGGCAGGCATGAGCCTCTAGCCTTCTCAGTAGGTATATTGCTATAGTAAAGCAAGGTGCATGCCAATCTATTAACACTGTTTCCAAAGATCATCTAAATAATTTTTTTTACCATTTTTATTGGATTACTATTGCTTTACAATGGTGTGTTAGTTTCTGCTTTATAACAAAATGAATCAGTTATACATATACATATATCCCCATATCTCTTCCCTCTTGCATCTCCCTCCCTCCCACCCTCCCTATCCCACCCTTCTAGCTGGTCACAAAGCACCAAGCTGATCTCCCTGCGCTAAGTGACTGCTTCACAGTAGCTATTTATTTTACATTTCATAGTGAATATATGCCCATATATACACTACCACTTTCCCACTTTCTCCTAGTTTACCCTTCCCCCTCTCCGTGTCCTCAAGTCCATTCTCTAGGAGGTCTGCATCTTTATTCCCATTTTGCCCCTAGGTTCTTCAGGACCTTTTTTTTTTTTTTTAGATTCCATACATATGTGTTAGCATACAGTATTTGTTTTTCTCTTTCTGACTTACTTCACTCTGTATGATGGACTCTAGGTCCATCTGCCTCACTACAAATAACTCAATTTTGTTTCTTTTAATGGCTGAGTAATATTCCATTGTATATATGTGCCACATCTTCTTTATCCATTCATCTGTCAATGGACACTTAGGTTGCTTCCATGTCCTGGCTATTGTAAATAGAGCTGCAATGAACATTTTGGTACATGACTCTTTTTGAATTATGGTTTTCTCAAGGTATATGCCCAGTAGTGGGATTGCTGGGTCATATGGTAGTTCTGTTTTTTGTTTCTTAAGGAACCTCCATACTGTTCTCCATAGTGGCTGTATCAATTTACATTCCCACCAACAGTGTATGAGGGTTCCCTTTTCTCCACACCCTCTCCAGCATTTATTGTTTCTAGATTTTTTGATGATGGCCATTCTGACCGGCGTGAGATGATATCACATTGTAGTTTTGATTTGCATTTCTCTAATAACTAACAATGTTGAGCATTCTTTCATATGTTTGTTGGCAATCTGTATATCTTCTTTGGAGAAATGTCTGCTTCGGTCTTCTGCCCATTTCTGGATTGGGTTGTTTGTTTTTTGATGTTGAGCTGCATGAGCTGCTTGTAAATTTTGGAGATTAATCCTTTGTCAGTTGCTTCATATGCAAATATTTTCTCCAAATCTGAGGGTTGTCTTTTCATCTTGGTAATGGTTTCCTTTGCTGTGAAAAGGTTTTGAAGTTTCATTAGGTCCTATTTGTTTATTTTTGTTTTTATTTCCATTTCTCTATAAGTTGGGTCCAAAAGGATCTTGCTGTGGATTTATGTCATAGAGGGTTCTGCCTATGTTTTCCTCTAAGAGCTTTATACTGTCCGGTCTTACATTTAGGTCTCAAATCCATTTTGAGTTTATTTTTGTGTATGGTGTTAGGGAGTGTTCTAATTTCATTATTTTACATGTAGCTGTCCAGTTTTCCCAGTGCCACTTACTGAACAGACTGTCTTTTCTCCATTGTATATCTTTGCATCCTCTGTCATAGATTAGTTGACCATAGGTGCACAGGTTTATCTCTGGGCGTTCTATCTTGTTCCATTGATCTATGTTTCTGTTTTTGTGCCAGTACCATATTGTCTTGATTACTGTAGCTTTGTAGTATAGTCTGAAGTCAGGGAGTCTGATTCCTCCAGCTCCGTTTTTTTCCCTCAAGACTGCTTTGGCTATTCGGGGTCTTTTGTGTCTCCATACAAATTTGAAGATGATTTGTTCTAGTTCTGTAAAAAATGCCATTGGTAATTTGATAGGGATTGCATTGAATCTTTAGATTGCTTAGGGTACTATAGTCATTTTCACAATGTTGATTCTTCCAATCCAAGAACATGGTATATCTGTTGGTATCATCTTTAAATTTCTTTCATCAGTGTCTTATAGTTTTCTGCATACAGGTCTTTTGTTTCCCTAAGTAGGTTTATTCCCAGGTATTTTATTATTTTTGTTGCAATGGTAAATGGGAGTGTTTCCTTAATTTCTCTTTCACATTTTTCATCATTAGTGTATAGGAATGCAAGAGATTTCTGTGCATTAATTTTGTATCCTGCAACTTTACCAAATTCATTGATTAGCTCTAGTAGTTTTCTGGTAGCATTTTTAGGACTCTCTATGTATAGTATCATCCACAAACAGTGACAGTTTTAATTCTTCTTTTCCAAATTGTATTCCTTTTATTTCTTTTTCTTCTCTGATTGCCATGGCTAGGACTTCCACAACTATGTTGAATAATAGTGGTGGGAGTGGACATCCTTGTCTCGTTTCTGATCTTAGAGGAAATGCTTTCAGTTTTTCACGATTGAGAATGATGTTTTCTGTGGGTTGGTGGTATATGGCCTTGATTATGTGGAGGTAGGTTCCCTCTATGACCACTTTCTGAAGAGTTATCATAAATCAGTGTTGAATTTTGTCAAAAGCTTTTTCCTCAACTATTGAGATGATCATATAGTTTTTATCCTTCAGTTTGTTAATATGGTGTATCACATTGATTGATTTGCGTATATTGAAGAATCCTTGCATCCCTGGGATAAATCCCACTTAATCATGGTGTATGGTCCTTTTAATGTGTTGTTGGATTCTGTTTGCTAGTATTTTGTTGAGGATTTCTGCATCTATGTTCATCAGTGATATTGGTCTGTAATTTTCTTTTTTTGTAGTATCTTTGTCTGGTTTTGGTATCACGGTGATGATGACCTCATAGAATGAATTTGGGAGTGTTACTTCCTCTGAAATTTTTTGGAAGAGTTTGAGAAGGATGGGTGTTAGCGCTTCTCTAAATGATTGATAGAATTCACCTGTGAAGCCATCTGGTCCATGGTTTTTATTTGTTGGAAGATTTTTAATCAAGTTTCAATTTCATTACTTGTGATTGATCTGTTCATATTTTCTGTTTCTTCCTGGTTCAGTCTTGGAAGGTTATACCTTTCTAAGAATTTGTCCATTTCTTCCAGGTTGTCCATTTTATTGGCATAGAGTTGCTTGTACTAGTCTCTTAGGATGCTTTGTATTTCTATGTTGTCTGTTGTAACTTCTCCTTTTTCATTTCTAATTCTATTGATTTGAGTCCTCTCCCTCTTTTTCTTGATGAGTCTGGCTAATGGTTTATCAATTTTGTTTATCTTCTCAAAGAAATAGCGTTTAGTTTTATTGATCTTTGCTATTGTTTTCTTTGTTTCTATTTCATTTATTTCTGCTCTGATCTTTATGATTTCTTTCCTTTTGCTACTTTGGGTTTTGTTTGTTCTTCTTTCTCCCGTTCCTTTAGGTGTAAGTTTAGATTGTTTGAGATTTTTCTTGTTTCTTGAGGTAGGCTTGGATAGC